TTATATGACAAAAACTCGCAGTGTTATTTAAATAATTTGGCGAAATTTCTGTCAGGCGGGACCCCCGACCCCAGAGGGTTAAAATAAAGTGCACAAAACAATTACATTATTAAATTTTGCGCATAACATTGCGATTAATCACGATTAATCAGACAAATCATGCGATTAATCACGATTAAAGATTTTAATCGTTGCCCAGCACTAATTTTATTATATAATAATAATAATTACTGTTACTGTTTATCATTGTCTAAATGTATCAATACATGTATTCAGCTAGTGTTAACATGCACGGTGCTATCACAGTGAATGCGAGGCTGAGACTGAAACGTTGCCCTTTGTTTCCGCCGCGTGACTCATTTCGCCACGCGTACAAGTTTCTTAGGTCACTTCTGACATTCAGATCGAGCTCTAGGTAAATTTTTTTCGAACTGGTTGGTTCGACTTTTAAGAAATTCGAATTCTAATGAATTCAAGAACTGAGGTACCACTGTATATTGTTATTTCGAAAGTAAGAGAAATTAGAAAGTTCATCACTGATGAAAAAAATTGGTCTTGCTTTTAAATAAGTCCAACACTAGATGCTGTAGTCTGACACTGATTCAAAACTGAGTGGAAATACTTTCAATTCCAAGACAAGTCCGAGTAAGTGAAAAAGTTGTCTTTAGACCAAGACTGGAGTTGAGTACTACAACGCTGTTATATACATGTTATATCATTTTTGGCTTTGAATCTAATCTATTATGTTATTGTAACATAACTTTGTAAAGTAACTTTGGCTTACTCAATGGGGGGTCCTTACGAGGCAGAAATGTAAAGCGCATTGAGACAATGTAATGTTGTGATAATGCGCTATATAAATAAAATTTAATTGAATTGAATGTTATTGTAAGACTAGTTTTCTCTCGTGTGTATTTCGTGCTGAAAATTGTAGCTTGCTCTCGAGATACATAAATGTTTTGTTTGTGACTGTGCTCTTTTTGGAAACTGTACACTGATTTTTACTAGCAGTCATGATGGTGTGGCACAGGATCTGGTAGCAAATACCAGTCATAACTAGGGTTGCCACCTCAGTCCTGTAAAATTCCTGGACACCCAGTCATTGACCAAAAATAGTGCACATAACGACACAATTATAAAGATTTGTTTAGGCAAGTTTGATAAAGAAATTATACCCCTACATGGCAGTGTAATTTCCCATATTTGAAATACACTGATTATTTACCCTTTAACATAATACCTTATTCTATTAGTTATGACATGATTTTTGAGAGTGTTATAAACATACATGTACGAAAGACTCTATGACGTTCGGTGTCCAGGAATGAAATTCATTGTTTCTAGGATAGATCACCAAAGTATATTTTTATAGCATGATAATTATATAATAATTGAAGGTTCAACAAAAACAGACAGAGACTGTAACCTCAAACATACTTAAAGTATCCATCAATCTTCTAATGCCACTTATCCAGAACTGGGTCAAGGAAGGCCTAGAGCCTGTCCAAAGCAGCAGAAAACATAAGGTAGAGGTGTTCCCTGGATGGAATGCCACTATATTCAAGGGCAAACACACAGTCACATACTATAGGCAGTTCAGAAACCCAAATTCAAGCTGAAATTCTTAATTTTGTGCTATATGAGGAATTCCATGTAAACTCAGAGAGAACATGCAAACTGCACACACAGACACATGGAGTCTGAGCCAGAAATGAAAGCACCGACCCTGGAGTTGTGAAGCTGCAGTGCTACTCACCAAGCCACCATGCCACACAGAATTTCTTCTGTAATTATCCATTGCATTGTGAAATAATATACACAGTTTTGGATAAGTGCATGTGGTACACAAAGTGTTCAGATGTTACACTCATTTTCAGGAGTTCTTCAAGAACAGGTATATATACAGATCAGTCACTAACTACTTTTCTTAATGGTTAATGTTTCAGTGTGACTTCATCTACACTTTCTTCCACCCACTTCCAAGAGATGAAAGACCAGGGACTGTTTACAACACACTACAGAACAAACCTTCAGGTAAAAGTGCTTCCTTTACGCTTCTTGGTAATTTGTCTTCATGCACATTTCCTGCCTAGTTTTATTGCAGACTTAGGTTGTAAATGAAACTTTTTCATCACTTGTCTAAAGCGTCATGATTACTCGATTTAAACTTAACTTCAAAAAAGCATTGACTAAAGTTTGCCTTCTCGTTTACTGTGCAATATGTCTGAAGGAAGATGGATCATAGCAAATGAGAGTCCAAATAAAGAGGAAAGCTTCAGTTGTGTGGAAGCACTTCACATTAAAAGTGAAAATACAGTCATCTGTCAGTATTGCAGAGCAAAACTTAAATATCACAGTGGAACCAATATTTTAACTCCAAAAGAGCTCTAAAAGCTGAAATCACTAATTTGCAGGATAGTAAGGGGCTTATAATTGAAAATGAAATTGATATAGTAAATGAGTTTAATGATTATTTTTCACGGGTGTTCACAGTAGAGAACACAAGTAACTTACCACCAATTAGTATGAATTCAGCGTCGTCTATGACCAATATATGTATAACTGAGGTTGATGTGATACTAAGCCTAGCTAAACTCAAAATAAATAAATTGCAGGGCCCTGATGGCATCTTACCCATAGTTTTAAAAGAGATGAGGGATATTATTAGCCAACCTTTAACTTTAATATTCCAGAAATCGTTATCTGCGGGTGTGGTATCTTCAGATTGGAAGCATGCTAATATAACACCATATTCAAAAAAGGGGATAGAAGTAATCCAGCAAACTATAGGCCAATCAGTTTAACTAGCATTACTGGAAAAATAATGGAAGCTATAATCCAAGTGAAAATGGTAGATTACTTGGATGCAAATAACATTCTGAGGGATAGCCAACATGGATTTAGGAGAGGTAGATCCTGTTTAAAAAATCTATTTGAGTTCTTTGAGGAAGCTACAAGTGAAATTGATCACAAAAAGGCCTACGATGAGATCTACTTAGATTTCCAGAAGGCCTTTAATGTTGTCCCCCACAAACAGCTCTTGCTGTACAGCCTCAAAGCTCAGGGATTTTAGGAGCTGTGGCAGCTTGGATCAAAAACTGGTTAACTGACAGGAAGCAGCGAGTAGTTATTAGAGGCACAATGTCACAGTGGGCCTGCGTTCATAGTGGGGTACCGCAGGGTTCAATTTTAAGACCACTATTGTTCCTAATTTACATTAATGATATTGACACCAATACATACAGTAAACTGGTTAAATTTGCAGATGACACCAAGGTGGGTGGTGTAGCAGATACTGATTTAGCAGCAGAGAGGCTACAACGGGATCTGGATTTAATTAGCGACTGGGCTGATACTTGGCAGATGAAGTTTAACACGGACAAATGTAAGGTAATCCATGCAGGGAGCAGAAATATAAAATACAGATATTTTATGGGTTCCACTGAAATAAAGGTAGCTGATTACGAGAAAGATCTCGGTGTGTATGTTGATGCTTCCATGTCCCACTCTCGCCAGTGTGGGGAAGCAATAAAAAAGGCTAATAGAATGTTAGGTTATATCTCTAGGTGTGTGGAGTTTAAGTCAAGGGAGGTGATGTTACATTTATATTATTCCTTGGTAAGACCCCACCTAGAATATTGTGTGCAGGTTTGGTCACCATACCTTAAGAAGGCCTTAGAAAAGGTGCAACGGAGGGCTATGAGAATGATTCCTGGTCTTAGAGGAATGTCTTATGAGGAGAGGTTAGCTGAGCTGAATCTGTTTAGCCTTGAGCAAAGGAGACTAAGGGGGGACATGATCCAGGTCTATAAGATTCTAACGGATCTGGATGCTGTTCAGCCAAATGGCTATTTCAATATTAGTTTAAGTACTAGAACTCGTGGCCATAAGTGGAAATTAGCGGGAGAACATTTTAAAACAAATTTGAGGAAGCACTTCTTTACACAGCATGTAGTTAGAGTATGGAATAGTCTTCGTGCTAGTGTAGCGGAACCTAAAACCCTGGGTTCCTTTAAATCAGAGCTAGATAAGATTTTAACAACTCTGAGTTATTAGTTAAGTTCTCCCCAAACGAGCTTGATGGGCCGAATGGCCCCCTCTCGTTTGTAAATTTCTTATGTTCTTATGAGGGTACGTACACACTATTACATTAGGCAACAAAATCACCTAACAACACATTTCTCAGAATGTATCCCAGTGATTAAGTGATGCTATACTGTAATCGATAGTGACTTTACTTGTGTCATGTAAATCAGCTTCCTGAAATATTAGTTTTCATGGAAACACAGCAAAATAGCACAACTCAAATTCAAGGAGTCAATTATTGTTTGGAAATATAGGGAGATGGAGGCAAAACCCAGTGCTTATTGTCTGCTAAAGTAGTTCCACTGAAGGACTGGTGTAGTGCTATCTTAGGTGATATTACTGAAGCCTGATACCCTCAGCCAGTAGGAGACTGGAAACCTATCTGCTTCTTTATACACAATTGCATACCGTTTACCAGTCATCACACACAATGTGTCCCCTTCAACAAGGACCTAGAGGTTCAGTGCAAGGTCACTAACGTTAATGAAAACTAGCAGTGAAAAAGTATTTTTGTGAACTGGAAAAAAGAAAGTTTACAAACAAAAGAACACTAAACTGAAATGTCCATTATAACACATGATCAGGTCATTTTCAAACAAGAAAACCAGAACTTTACATTGCCTTAAAATATACAGGAAGTGAGTTGTTGAAACATTTTATCGTTCTTGCCATTCCTCCTGGCAGAGGTGTCATGGGCTCCCATTGCTGGCAAAATTGTGGGAGAGGTGAAGCTTTCTATCTCCTACAAGAGCAACAAGCTTTTCATCATGGTCATGCACATCCGAGGGCTGGTAAGTTTTTACATGCCATTATAAGTATTTTATTGAAAGAGGATGTGTTCGGATGCCTTACATGCAGGCGTGAGTATAGGAGGGTAGACGCCCTGGGTCAAAGTTATTGTTGGGGCCCTACCTACAGCAAAAGAGGGTGCTATAACAATCGGGGGGGGAGTGTCTATTAACTGCATTCACATTCAAGCAGTGTTTGCATTTGTGGGCTTGTCCATGAGTGTTTTCTCTTGTGTTCTTTTTTTTAATTCCTTTACCACTTACCACTTACACCAGGGGTGCCCAACTCCAGTCCTGGAGGGCCGGAGCCCTGTGTAGCTTAGCTCTTTCCATTTTCAACCATAAATGATTCAGCTCAAGAGCTATGGGGTAATTAGCACAAAGTGTTAAATCAGGTGTGTTAAATGAGGGGAAACCCAAAAATGTGCAGGGCTCTGGCCCTCCAGGAGTTGAGCACCCCTGACTTACACAAAAACAAATTGTACTTAGGCTGTACATAAATAAAGTTCAGTCTCATTCTGTTATCCCTACAATCTGCTACGTATGGATTACCACACTTTATATTTATATTTCCCTTACTGTCACACAGCAGCCCTTGCAGGATGGGACAGATCCTGACCCTTATGTCAAGCTGTACCTCCTACCAGACCCCCAGAAAACCAGCAAGAGAAAAACCAAAGCTGCCAAACGCACATGCAATCCTACCTACAATGAGATGGTGAGATTTATTTTTCTAGAACAAAATGGAATCTGTTATGGAAGTCTTCCATCATGACAAAAAGAAAGCTTGTGTAAGTGATTGTCATGCTATTTGTTAGAACAATGTTCATAGTTCAAGTTCATTGCTAACCTTAAGGACCAGAAACATGTGATTCTGTACATGCAGACTGCGATAAGTACTGACCCTCGCTGCCTTGTATCCCATCCCACCTCCAGCTGGTGTATGATGGCATTCCATGGGGAGACCTACAGCAGAGGGTGATTCATCTGAGAGTGCTGAGTGAGGGAGCCTTCTGGGAGAACCTTCTGCTGGGGGAAGCCTTCATATCACTGACAGCCCTTTTGCCCGGGGAGCGCTGGGTGGACTGGCACCAGCTTGGAACTGGGGGCTCGGATGGCACTCGCTAAGGATAAGGATATAGGATGATGAGCAGCGACCTGTGTGTGCACCTGTGTAGAAAAAGGACAGGGTTGTGAAGTCATTTTGAAAGAAGTACATGTGCATATGTGATGTACATGCTTGTGAATGTAATGATAAGGTCTACCTACTCTGAGTCATGTTATTCCCCCCAGTGGGGGTGCATTGAAGAACTGTGTTCATTGAAAACACTGAGATCAAAATGGTTTTCAGTGGATAGTGTACAAGTAGGATTAAACGTGAGGCTTACAACCAACCAAGCTGCTTTGAGTCCTGGATCGAAAGAAGGAGAAATTATTTGGTGTTTGGCAGGGCTTCATGAAATGAAAATGGATCTGAGCCATGAAATTCAAGCATTCAAGAAGGCTGTGGTGTGTAAATTAGGTAATGCCATCTCAGTATAACCCAAGCAATTGCTCCTCCATTAGTGTCCCCTAACCAGCATAAAAAGAATGTCAGGCATCTGCAAGCTACTGTTAGTTGATTTAATGCGGCGTATCTCACAAGGTTTTAAAGACACAAAGAAAATCTTATTTCTTCTTGAATGTTTTTTTATTCTTAAAGCTCAATTTTGAGCCCTTATTATAGAGTATACAGATGAAATGACATACATATGTGCCACAGTCGTGCATCGACTGATTATGTGGTCCAGGTTGTGAATTACGTGAATACTTTTGTACTGTGGAAGGGTAGTTTGATACCCAGCAGTTTGACTTGGTGCTATCTTGTCTTGAGACTGTACTGTATATACTGTACTTAACTTGATGTAGTCTGCTTCTCCCCTGTAATTATTTGAGTGCATCATGCAGGAAATAAGCCACAGGTGGTCAGACCTACAAATATAACTATGCTGTCAATTGGTGCCCTCATCCACTTCAGTTCACTATAAATATTCATATATCTAGATTACCAGAAAACAGACATCCCTATATCCAGAAAGTATTTCCAAAATGTTAAATTGCTTGTTCAGTTGCATGCTGTGGAATGTTATGACTGTTTAGTTATTGTAGGATTCCTTAATCAAGTGTTCTGAATCTAATATCAGATTTAAACTTATCTCCAGCTTACAAAACCTCATTATTGGTAATGCCGTCTTACTGTTATATAACTTTTTATGCTCATTGCCTCATTTCTGAAAGGGGAGCTGAAACTGAAGGTAAAAGGGTGAAGGAAAGGAATTTTGATCAAGTACAGCTTACAGTTTATTAGATTTTTGCCTTCATTTGAGACTTTTTGTAATGACAGCTGTTTTGTCTTTGGATCCATATCCCATATGATTAATGACACCTTTTAAAAAGGTGTTATGTCCATAGAATACTTTGCTATGGTGTTTTGGAGCACATTCTATTGTTTAATATAGTAGGATATTTATCTTTTAATTCTTAATCCATTTCTTCTGTGTGAAACTTAATAGCCTTTAGAAATCATGTGTTCAGTATTCAGTGATTGCCTCTTTATAAGTTTTACAGCAAAATTAATATTTTTAAAGGAAAATGTTTGCAGAGTGTACAAAGCAAGTTTATTTCTAAATGTGTTTTTTTGGTGAACTCAGCATAAATTTAACAAGTCTAACCCTCCTACCCAGTAAGCATTCAGAATTTAAGAAGGAAATAAAAACTTGTAATGCCTTCAAATTTAGTACTATTGTTAGATCTTTGCCTTTTTTCTAAGAGAAACGTTTTGTGGATTGCCTTGTGGATAGTAAGTGAAGGTAAATGGAATTAAAATTCCCCATTTTCTTCACAACTGGCAGGAGTGTCTGCATTTGTGTGCTGTGTAAGGACCGTATTTTTGAGCCAGTGCAGGGGTATGATCAGTTTGGAGGATTACATTCAACAGCACAATGAGAATGGGACAGAATGTAAGTTCAGAATGGAAAGAACTCTGCATCATAAATACTAATGTCATAATTGCAGTTTATTATGAGAACTCATTAGTTTTTTAAGACTTCATAAATTTATGTGTATAATGTGCATTTTTAATTTGATCATTTTTGTAAAATCATTTGCACTAAATAAAAAATACACAGATTTTCTGTTTGAAACTATTTCTGTGTGAAATAGTTTTTTTGTGTTGTAACTTTAAGTACAATGAACAAGGGCATAATACAGTTTTGGGGGCTCACATTCCATCCATCCATCTTCTAAATGTTTATCCTGTTAGCAGGTACTGGAGCTTAAGTTAGGCAGCACAAGGTACAAAGCAGCTGAGTGCCCTAGATGAGGTGCAAGTCAATCATAAGGCACGCATACACACAATCACCATACACCATGGCTGGGTTTCCTGATATGGTGACTCTTAGCATCTTATGAAGACTTGAAAGATATACCTTACTAAACCAGGGTTCTTGCAGGTTTCAGTAAGTAAAATTTAAGACCTTTTTAAGACCTTTTAAGACCAGTATGAGTAAAATTTAAGACCAACATGATGCATTACTAAAAACATTAGAGTGATACCAGAAATTCTCATATTTTATATCACTCATATCCTTAGTCAAACATCCACATATCATATGTGTTTACAAAGTGCGTTTTAATAAGTTCACATGTGTTTAAAGCATGTGGGAGGGGTATTTTAAGGCTCAAACTACAAAAGTTTATTTATATGGTCTTTCTATATCGTGGATTTTCACCTATTGCTGATGGGTCTGGATCGTAACTTCCACAATAGGCGGGGGATCACTATATATACACCCTGTATTTATGTGTGTGTGTGTGTGTGTGTGTGAATACAGAGTAAAATGGAATAAAAAAATAGTACAATTCTGGGTTATTAATAATTAATAATCATATATCAGAACTGTAATACGTAATGCACTTTACATATGCCATGAGGTACCAAACTGTGTTTAATAAAAGCTGAATGGAAAAAAAGAACATTGGACACGACATCAGGAATCAAATGTTTATTTTTTTCAGATAAGAGATACCAGCCTAAAAATACTAAACAAAACAAACCAATAGAAACATTGTGATATAATATAAAACCTGTGTCAAGTCTTATTAACTTCATGAACCAAATTTATTATATACTGTGATTTTGTCACATTAGAGAGATGTGTATGTTCCAGGGGCGTCGGAAATACGGGGACCATCCCAAGAAATATTTGAATAAGTGAATTAATGAATGAATATCCATATTTCATTATGTATCCGGATGTTACTGAGACCAATTGGCTACGCATTTAGAGCACAAAGACAATGCCTAACGAAGACATTCATTCATTCTCTATGGGAGGGAGCGTCGGGAGGCGTCGAGGAGCGGCACGGCACGGCGCGATTTGGGCGGCAGGAGCGTCAGACAGAAGTTGAATCCCAATCACCTTTATGGTAATGAGCTGTGACGTGGTTGGGCGGCAACCAATGGGAATGTAGAGATGCTCCGCTAAAGAGAGCGCCGCAGAACATAAGCGTGTAAACTTTTGTTCCAACCCAACCGTTCCTAGGCTGGAGAATCGGGTGCACCCACTGTGATCTCCTATGTCTCCGTCGCTGCAGGTAAATCAGTGCTGCACAAGCAACTACTTGGCAATCATCCATTGTGAGAAGGTAAATTTGAAAAGAAGCGCTACACTATTTATAGGTAACATTTTCCCTCCAGAATGCTTGATTTTAAGCGGGAATGCAAATAACTGGCTCACAACAATATTTATTTGACAAATTATGTCCTATAGGAGTCGGAGCAAAGATATAAGCTACACGTTTGTTTGTTTTGCGGCCCCTCTAAAAAGTTCTCAGAGCCTGGCATTCTGAGTGGCCTTGTCCGCCCACTCTATGATGTCAGAGAGCGTCTCCGGCGTTGGCTAGCGTCGCTTTCAGGGCGGCGGGAGCGACGACTGGCGTCTTTGACGCTCGCGGTGTGAACGTAGCATTAGGTCTCGTTCACACGGATGTCTGTATCAGGCGTTTTTCTGGCGTTCGTGGTGCCAGGTGAGCGCCGACTGAACGCCGACCATTTTTCTGCTCATTGGAGCAAATCAAAGCGTCCACACGGGCGTTCAGCACCGGCGTTCGGCCGGCTACGCATTCAGGTGGCGTCAAATAAACGCTGCATGCAACGTTTTCTTGGCGTCAAAATCCCGACGAACGCGAGGAAAACGATGCTATTGTGTTTACATGGCTTTCGGTTGTCGTTCTGGTGGACCGAGTATGTCCCATGATTCTGTACAGCAACTTTTATCTTAGATACGCATATCTTAGATACGTATAATAGATACGCATACCTTTGCTTTTATTTTTGATTTAAAATACGCGTTTCATGCGTCTTCGTCGTGCAAGCGGGGCTGCGCCGCGCCAGTGACAGTCCGGACCCAATTTCGAACATCCGTGTGGACGAGGCCTTAGTGTTATGAAGGAAAACATGGTTAGTGCCAGGCACAAATGAATATCTTTTGATTTTGCAT